ATTCATCTTGTTAATAAACTGAACATTACATCTGTCTTGAAATTACATATTGGAATTGGACTACATTCTAGCTAGTTACAACAAGAACACTATTGTTACCTACCTTTAGATTAACTTTGAAATAATAATAGATATATTCTTGTTAATAAATCTTTTAAAGACTCTCCCAAATATCACTTTAAACATGTGATCACTTTTATCACGTATTTTTGTAATATTAAGTTTAATACTCATCCCTTCTCAGAACTCACACCAAAAAGGTAACAATATTTATTTAAATAAATCATTTAAAGATTGACTAAGAGAAAAATAGGAAGAATAGATGACTAGAGATGAATATAATTTAACAAAAGAAGGGAATTTAAAAAAACCAGATCATGATATTATTTGTAAATGGATTATTGAGATATGGAATGATATACCAACTGACATGATTATTAAATCTTTTAAAAAATATGGAATTTTTAATAATTTAGATAGAACAGAGGATGATGATATTATTGATGATTATAATTTAGATATTGAATATGTATCTGAAGTTGTATTACAGAATGATAATTCAGCCACTGATTCTGATACTAATTAATAAAATATAATATGTGCTTATTTTTGGATGTGCTTATTTTTGGATGTGCTTATTCTTAAAAATCCTATATTTGAAAACTAAAGGCCATTTGTGCTTATTTTGGGGCAAATACGATATATATATTTTGATCAGCCAATCATATCAAAGTTCATATGAAATTGGAATTGACCAATCATATAAATGTCTGATATGCTGTCACTGTTATTTAATAAAATCATGTAATAAACTCATTCTTTAGTGAATTTTATAATAATACAATATACAATTAGATTATAATAGCAGAAAAATTATAAATAAATGAATGTATCTTATTGATGTTTATAGGCTGCAGATTTCTTTAAAGGTTTTGCAGTTTGCACCGAAGAACTGCTATTCTTTGTAGATGACGACGATCCACTTACTTTTGTGGATGATGAAACTCTACTCACTGATGGTCTCGTCGTACTGCTACTCTTTGAATGTCTCTCCGCGGTACTGGATTTTTCTAGAGTCCCTCCTGTTGGTTGAGGCGTCGTCGAAGAACTGCTAGAAATTTTTTCGGAGTTTCTCGGTTCTTTTAAAACGGGGCCAAGACCGATTACGGTCCAGAAACTAAGGCTTTTATAAGAACCTAATTCCCGAGTAGTGTTGTTGGTGCTAGTATTAATTGTTGATGAATCGAGTTTTTTAGAATTCTCAGTATTGTTCTCGTCTTCGACGGGGACGCTGTCAACAGCCGAGGCAACAGGTGTTGTGTCAGCGGCTGGAACAGCAAGGTGTTGTTGTGTTCCGTTGTTGTCAACAGTATCAATGTCCAGCACTTTACTTGTATGTGTCACGAGAAGAGGAAACTATATGGAAAGAGAAATCATAATTGTTAACGATTGATGGATAGATTATGAGACACAAAAAAGTAATACCTTGAATTCTTCGACGGCCAATAACGGAGTTATTTCTATAGCAATGCACGTGTAATTTCCCTTTTTTTCTACAACTCCAGGATCAGGCTTAGGAGCAAGTGACGCACGTGACGCTGGTCGTTTTGACGTCAACTTTTCGGTGCTCAACTCCTCGTCATCGTATTCTAGTAATTCGTTATATGGACCTATGGTGAAATTTGTGGCGAGTAATTTAATCTTTTTATGTCAAATCGAAAATGAGTTAGATTTTGTTATTTAATGTAAATAATATAGTAAAATCGTTAATTAATAAACTAATTATTTACCTTTCCATAATCTTCAATCTCCTCTTTACAAGAAAGTGAAACGTTAGCATCTTCAAGGAGTGGATTCGAAAATTTTAGGATGACTTGTATCGTTTGGTCTACTACCAAATATGGTAATTTGGCAATTGTTATTTTTGGAATGTAATTTCTTGTGAAAAAAATTAAACATTAATAGAAATAATTAAACTATGAGAGAGTATTATAATGAAATAAATTGCTCACAAAGCTACAAGTTTTATTTTGAATTTCGTCGCCTGAGCTTTTTGCTCGGGCTTTATGAGAATATGACGACATGATCGACATCGTTTGACACGTTTTGTTCTTAGGTGAATTCGTTGCGGTTGAAGTTTTCTATTATTTTTTAATAAAAAAATACATGTCACTTAATTCTTTCTTTAGAATTCGAAAGATGCGAAGCAAATCAAGCGTACATCTTTAAGATTACTTACTCAATATTATACGGTTGATCGCTGAGTTGATTTGTTCTTTGAGTAAAAGTAGTAACTATATATTTAAAAAATTAATAAAAAATTAATTTCATATTCAATTAATTTACTAATATATTAATAAACTCACTTTGATTAACATCCTTTAACTGTTTCAAATCTTCAGTTAAGTTTACATCATCATCCACATGTACTACAGCCTCATATGGGCTCACATCATCAGATTTTTGATTCGTATGAGCTAGTCCACTAGTTCCATATCGACTACTAAATGTGCTCATGCCTGGAATATTGAGTAGCTGAGTGGGAAGTGTTGTGGATGGTGCGTTCTGGCGTAAATGTTTCTCAAAATGTTCCTTAAGATGATCAAATTCTTTGACATCGGGACGCTCATCATCTGTCGTTTGTAACTGCACTTTATAATGAAAGTTTAATCTTGAATTTCTTTAATAATAATAATCATAAATTATTAGGTAGATAAAAATAAATCAATAAATTACATGATAAACCGGTGGCCTTTTCAAACGTCATTCCTATCTCTTGCGAGTCCCATCGACATACACCACATAATAAAAAATATGGTGCACCGCCAGCTTGCCCGGCGACAGGTTGAGGTTGGGTAGTGGTCTGAATAGGTGAAGTTGCAGGTGACGGTTCGGTGCTTGCAACCACAGATAAGGTATTCTGACAGATAGGGCATTGGAAACAACTACGCGCACACCTTTTAAAAAATTTAAATTTGTAAATTTATAATTCAGAAGTTATATTTAAAAAATTGCTTTTTTAGTCTTTACCTATTCCGTTCACTCTTCACACTTGCGGTCGGAACTTCAAATAAGCAGTTCGGACAATAATAACAAATAATTTCTTCTTGAACACAGCGTGGACACCGGATCTGGTGACAGTCTTCACAGATATATAGTTTTGAAAGTGGAAAGGTAGAGTGATGTATACGTGGAGAATTTACAGACGGCGGTGAGTCAACGTTAAGAGGTGTGCATGTGGCAGCGGTTTCGGAGGACTCGGTGCTTGAGTAAACGTCTGGACATGCACAATGGTAATGAACGAAGGGCCTCAATTTATCACTGCTACTGTGATGTGAATGTGAAGAACTCATTTCGAAATGTGTGAAAATACCAGTTCAAAGATATAATGAATCATTTTATTTATATGTATCACCACCCAAGATATGCATAAGTCGCGTCACGTTCAGTCATTTCAATTAATCAACAAAATATTTCACAAATTAATTTAACGAGCAAAACGAACAGCTAATATTTTATTCATCCACATGTTTCGTTTTCACTTTTTTTGACGATCTTTCTCCACTGCTTTTTTTAGTAGCCATCAATCCCTGCATCTTAAAAAACCGTTTTCTACTTTCTTTTTCTTTTTCCGCAACAACAGCTTCCTGTTTCACCACTTTTTTAGCATGCTCGATTCGCCGTATCTCTTGTTTCTCTTTACGCTTTTTCTCTTTCTCTTTCTTGAGGGTGTGAATCTGCTGCATTAAAGAGTAGATTTTTTTCTCTTCTGGTTCGAGGACGACCGCGCGTTTTTGCATGTAGGTTGGTTTTGAACGTTTTTTCAAGTCTTTGGGTTTTGATGCGAACGGAAGTTCTGATTGAAGACTTTTAGGTATAAGGAGAGGGTTGAATCGACGGATTGGTCGTTCTATAGGCTAATTTTAAAACAATAACCGTTATTAAAAACAAAAAAATCATTTGCCAACAAAAAAATGTATCTTCACATAAGAAGAAAAAAAATAACAGTTTACCCTATAAGTTGAAGTGGGATTAGATGGTGTAGGAATCCCGTATTCTTTGCGAAGCTGTCCAGTCAATCGCATCCCAGACCAATCGGTCTTTGTGGAAAGTAATAACGACGTGACAGGATTATAAAACTTTTTAGGTTTGATTGGGTACCAGGCCCTCAGGAAAACAATGTCTAATGATAAAAAATCAATGTATTTTTCGTACTTTTGGTTAAAACGTTGAATAAATTAAAAAAAATACCGCTCATCAAGATTTTATCTTCAAATGTAGCGCGAAAGTGTCCTTCTGGTTTCTACAATAGAATTGAATTAGGTGATCAATGATGTGTTACGTATACCACCAAAAAAAAGGGGGGGGGGGAGTGTATATATATAATATGAAAAACATACAGGTAGCGGTTTTTTAACTTGACCGCGAATTCCAGAAACAGTCCGAATTCCTGCTCCCTCAAATTTTGCCACCTCTAACGCAGAATTAAACATGTCCTTGATGAAAGCGGTGTTTTTGAAAATTTTGTACGGAGTGCCAGTCAACTTTAGTTTTTTTACGATTTCAACTGAGTGGTTGATATCAAGAACTACGCCTGTTGCGCTTATACGAAAAGCTGACTTTAAGAAATGTGCCGGGAAACAAAATTTTTGTTTTGCTTTTTTTTTAGTCGACGATAGAGTATCAATTATAGCTGAATAATAAAGGAAATGCTCTTTACCGTGTTGTCATTAGCAACAGATTGTACAGCACAAAAGCCGGTGTTTGGAGGATGAATAGGACCTATATAAATAAAAAGAAATTATATCAATTAAATGTAAACATCTAAAAGTTTATCATTGAAATGCAGATAAAATATAATATCGATCCATATACCATAAAGAGTAGCTATGCAATGCATATGCTCCGGTGTATATTTGAGCATTCTGTCGCGCGTTCCATCATTAAGGGAGTAAAGCGGAATCGTTTGAAACCGACGCCAGCCCATCGAAAAAATAAGCGGGTCATTCGTTTTCAGAATTTTTTTATGCCATCTGTGTCTTTTTAATCGTACCTATTATATATTAACAAGATTAAAAACTTAAATTTCAAACCAACCGAAAGTAAAAATTCCAAATCTAAAATTATATATAAATTTTTTTAAACAATCTCCGTACCTGAATAAAGCTCAAATTTTCCTCGGTAGCCAACAATCCACCAAGAATAATCGGATACACAGGATCAAAGTACTTCACAAACTCTGCTGGCATATTATTTAGTAATATTCGTACATACAAACCAGGTCTGAATCCCTCTAGCATAGCACGTGTGACTTCGTCATCGTCTTCAAACTCGTCACGATTTAGTTGTAGCTGTTTGGCGATCCCTTCTTTTACTTCGTCGTAATAATCTAATTTTGTGTCAGAATCATCATCTTTGTCGTATTCGGCATCGAACTTTTTTTTGAGTTCTTGTTTTTTGCGTGCGAGTTCTTCGGATTCTAATGGTTCTTTGGTTTTTAGAGTTTTTTCATCAGCCTTAACGACTTGGCCAGTTTCTAGATCTTCGAAATCACCGTATGCGTCGTTATCATCATCATTGTCGCCCTCGTCCTCACCACCGTCATCTTTGAATGTTGTGTTGTTAAAATCTAAACTACCAGTTATAAATCGATTTCTTATCGATTGTAAAGTCTATTGAAGAATTAAACAAAAAAATCTTTACAAGAGAATACAAATAAAAGTCCACATATAATCAATAATTCATACTTTTTCTTCATCCCACTCATCTAAATGAATATCATCAAGACCAGCTTTAACAGAATCAACTAAATTCAATGATCCACCATTTTTATCCTCATGCTTAATAGAGAAGAATTCATCATGATCTTCTCCCTCCTCTTCATCCTCGTCCTCGTCCTCTTCCATCTTTGTGTTTTTATTATCAACATTATGCTTCGAATTTACAAGATTTCTAATTATCTCCTCAGGCGACTTCTCTTCTTCATATATAAGTTGCATGAGATTTTGCCTTCTATTGGCGATAAACATTTCTTTAGCTTTTTCCGCAATATTAGATTTCCATCGTAGTGCGCCATCAGTATCTGAGTTATTGTCTTCTAGTTCGCTATTAGAAAGATCACCGAGTTCACTGTCACTTTCGGCAAATGCAATTTCTTTCTCTTCGCCTCCTTTATCAAGACTTAATTCATTTTTGGTAAAGGCAACTCTCTTGTTCACCTCATTTTGTTCAGGTGAAACTTTTTTTTTTATTTTTACATCCTTACTTTCCTCGTCTTCATCTTCGTCGTCATCATCTTCATTATCAGTTTCCAATTCATAAGAATCGTCATTTTCTTCCTCTAATTCACAATAAATTTCATCCTCACTTGAATCATCCTTATCATCCTCTTCCTTTTCTGTTAATTCCTCTTCTACACTTTGATCACTAGCTTCCATATATGATTTAGATTGAGAAGCTAATTTATCAAAATGTTCATCAAATGTATCCTCATTGCTAGAAAAACTACCGTTAGTTTTTTCTCGAAAAATTGCTCTACGACGAAAACGCCCTTGAGAGTCTTGTTCATTCAATTCAATTAAATCTTAAAAAACACATATAAATTAGATAATCTTTTCGCTAGCTTTTTGTTACATAATAGATAATAAAAAAATTACCCTTTGAATTTTCCTCATCATCAATATTTGCAGCAGTTATCGGCGCAGAATCAGCAAAAATCCGAATTTCACTCGCCTCCAATTTTGACGAAAGAGTATCAGGAGCATCTTGCAACTCGATAACCATTCTTTCACCAGGTCCCTGCGGCGGACTAGGCTCTAACAATATATATAATTGTTAAAAATATGACAACCTTTTGACTAGTTTTTTTATCGCCTAATTGCTTATTATATCATAACCATACCATTTTTTTCGTCTGCATTATTGTTTGTTTGTTCCGCCTTTTTGGTGAAATTTCCCGGTACATTAATATACACGGCATCTTTATCATACATGATACCTCCAACTTCTGACATCGGCGCGTAAATAAGTTTTTGTTTTTCACTCAAGCTTCTGCGTACTTTATCTGGCAGCGGACAAGGATCCGGCAGCACAGAAATGTCGGCCAAATATTGATCTCCGGCACCTGGTATATGAACCTTTCTTCGAAATTCAATTACATATAAGAAATTGAAAGCAAACTTCATGTTTACAATTATAAAATAGGATTATCGTCAACCTTCATATTAGTCTTCATATTAGTTCCCCGCAAATACCCGTACAAAGTAACAGTCCGATCACAAATAGGATTTTGTCGAACTTGCTCCGGATCCGTTAAATCCTCGACACGGTCCGCTAATAAATACGGATGCGTGTTTCGCCAAATCAATGGTCGAAACTTCATGATTGAAATGAAACGCGATAGATTCTGAATTTCTTGGTTCGGGTATCGATCGTTGATTATCCCCGAGAGATAGAACAATTTTGCACCCTGGTATATCTCGGTCCAGAATCGGTGTTTGAGTTGTTTTTTTGTGGTGCGTAAGGATTTTTTGTTTTTAAATTTGTCGAGATGGGTAAGGACTCCCATGATTTTTGGAAATCCGTGGACTTGAAGAATGTTGAGAAATTCGAATGTTTCCTTTGTGGATGGAAATTTTTGATGTAGTGAGAGGATGTTGATATGAAGAAAAAATCATGGGTAGATATAAAGTTTGGATTACCATTTCAAAGCCAAAACTTGCGTCAATCAGTAGTAATACCAAATCCGCAACTTTTGCAATGTCAATCATGCAATTCATGTCGTTCGCACATTCAACAAACGTCAATCGACGGTGTTTGCCTATAAAGATTATTCAACATGACAATATACACACAAAAATATGTATATTAAATTTCTCACATACCACTGACCACGGTGATCGGTCCTTTCACTTCGGTCAAATTATGTTTAGAATATCGCTTCACAAGCGACTTTATCAATGTAGTTTTACCGGTCTGATAATCGAATCAGAACATCAAAAATGAAGCGATCGAATTAAGATGTGTAATATGGTATTGGTACCAATGAAACTCAAAATCTTATTTATTGAGCTAATAAATACTTTAGGTGGTCCAACCACTGCAACAATTACAGGAGGCGGTACAACAGGTGTTCTATCAACAAGCGGAACATGAAGTTTCTTTTGACTTAACTCTTGTTTTCGTCGAGCAAGTTTCTCGGCTTTTCGTCCGGAGAATGGAGCAAACGCCTTTATTTAAAATTTCGTACACAAGCATATATAAATAAAACACTACAACGTAATTGAGAATGGGATGCTAGCTAGCTGTCTCAAAGAAAACACACTTTTGGATTATGTCTCTCCTTATTCTTATGTTTCTTCTCCTTTTTGTCTTTTTTTGCACCAGCTTGTCGTGGGTGGTGGGATTTCTGTTCTTTGTCGTCCATTCTGTACTTTTGTCATAAATGTAAGATCCGATATACAGAAATTTTTTGGCATTTTTATACTCGATTTGATTGTCCAATTGGATTCGGTATTCCCATAAAAAAAAATTACAAATTTCTTCGAAAATTTCTTCGAATATTTATTTTTTTTTCTCTTTTCAACTCGAACCTAAGAAATACAATGGTAAGTTCCTTGCGAAAGGATTGATATAAAGCTTTATATGGTTTATTACTGAAACTACTTAAATACAGGCGGACCTCGACGAAGGCGAAAAAGCTGCTGAACAACAAAAAAAAGAAGAGAACGTTTAAAAAATTCTCTTATCGAGGTGTTGATCTTGATCAATTACTTGATTTGAATTCTGAACAGGTAAAAATTAATGGAACTTTTACGTTTTGCCATAAATAATAACAATATTTATCCATTTTTGTAAAATTTTTCTTGATATATAATATTATTTATTTATTCTATTTATTATGATTAGTTAATGGAGCTAGTGCACGCACGCGCTCGCCGAAGGTTTCAACGCGGGTTAAAACGTAAACCAATGGGTCTCATAAAAAAACTTCGTAAGGCGAAAAAAGAAGCGCCTGTCAATGAAAAACCGTCAGTAGTAAAGACTCATTTACGTGATATGATTATCGTGCCCGAGATGATTGGGTCGATAGTTGGCGTGTATAATGGCAAGACGTTTAATCAAGTAGAAATCAGGGTATGTTTATATATATATATATATATATAGATTGATTTGACTGACCTTTTTCAATTCTAAGAAATCGATTTCTAATTTGTTTTTCTATATATATATATATATATATAGCCCGAGATGATTGGTCACTATCTTGCTGAATTCTCCATCTCATACAAACCCGTTAAGCACGGTCGTCCTGGTGCGCAAATAATTCTTTTTTATATGCTTCAATTGTGTACTATATATATTTTTTTTTACCAATAACTACTTTTTCATAGGTATCGGTGCCACTCACTCTTCCCGTTTCATTCCATTGAAATAAATAAATTGTGCTCTACATGCTGAAAAATTTGAGAAAATATGCAAGAGTAATTTAGAACAAAAATGAGTATTATAAATTGATTTATTGCGCGTAAATCGTAGTTATTTATGTACTATGTACTTCATTATAACAATAATTTTCGATCGAAAAAAATTCTTATAATGGATTTAAAATATTCAATAATATATTCACTTCTATTGCCACCTACATTAAATTTATTTTTTTTGACTGCGAAGAAACTATTGCTGCTGTTGCTGAATCCTATTATTCAACACTGGCAAAAACTTTGCGACCAAATGATGATCCGCAATAAATCCATTATGGAACATAACAATAGTGCTATTCGTAGATTCGTCAATCAATGGTAATAATAACTCTTGAAGTTTCACAAATACAGGAGACAAATTTCCATGTTTCTGCATACGAGTTTGCTCCCATGTTGTCCGTGCTTCCGTGGCGTCTGACACATATATTCGACCATCGCTGAGAATCTCGAGGTTGATTCCCATGTTATTGACTGATGCAGGCCTGTTAAGTCTTCTACGATTTGGTCTTTTTTTGACGAATAATAAAAATTTAGTTTTAGAAGAGACCTGATTTTTTTTTTGGCAAATAAGTTAAATTACCGTGATCGTAAACCAGAAACCCAGATCACCCTAATTAAAGCTTCTGACTTGGGAATAATGCGGAGATTGGTTCCTAGTCCCTGTTTATTTTCAAGCTCGTCTAACGCACAGAGAATACTTACCGTGCGATTCAAGGTCTGGTTAACAAATTCAAAAAGCCAAAATTTGTTATAAAACATGATAAAATCAGCCTAAGAATCAAAGAATTTATCATTTACCGTTAAAAGAACTTTTGTATCATATTGGAAATTGAACGTCTTTTGTAAATGGTCTTTTATGCGTTGATGAGGATTCTTGCCTCTTTGATGATTACTATTCTTCACTATTCCAAAATCCAGAGAGTAGCAGTTATCCGACCAATAAATTTTTACCGTATATTGCTGGAATTAAGTAAAGAATTACAAAATAAATTAAAAATACAAATATATAAATCACTTTTAACTTCCAAACCCACCTTTGCATATACAAATACAAGCGATTTGAAGTCAAATGATTTTAACAGAATCTCCTCGTCTCCATGAAGATTATTCGAATGTACTAGTGAATAAAGTTAACGCTTTTCTTAGATCAAATTTTTTACTCAAAATTATCATGTTATGATTAGAATACCTTGAAGCGCCAATATTGATATCATGACAATGTCATCCCAGTCTTTAAGAAAATCTTGGACGCATGTTTCTAAATTTTCATATCGTAACGATAAGACTGAAGTGACTGGGTCGAGATTAGCGTGACCTATATGGAATATATACGTAATAACCAATCAATATATAAAATCATTGAGTAAATAATAAAAATCCAGAAGCATACTATACAAACCAGAAAGCAGATTTCTACTAACGCTCGGCAATATATCGAGCTTTATGCGTATTTTCACAACAAGCTAAATAACAAAAAAAATCACAATACACACACGTTATATAATAAATTTGTTTTCCCAATCCTTTTGCAAATACGTAAATTCCATACTCACCGAACAGGCCAAAGAGTTATGCAACAACCACCCGACGGTTCGCATACAGATATCATCAAAAATCATTAACGAGTTGTCATTAGCATTCGGGACGCGAGCTAACAGCTCTTTTTTGTTAAGTTTCAACACTGGGACAGAGTTTGTGAGGTAGAAAGTGGTGTGTCGCCGATCGTTGATAATGGGCATATCGTCGTCAGTGGGTATGCTATACGATAGTTTATGCGAAGCTAGTTGAGGCACTAGCTTTAAGTGTGCTATGTGCGCTCTGCAAAATAATCACAATGATTAGTATAGTTAAAAATCACACTCCGTAATAAATATTGTGGATAAAAATAAACAATATGAATAGCGAGAGAATAAAAAGAACTGACCGGCAAAGAGCGACTGCTTTGGCTAAAGAATTAAGATTTTCTTCACATCTATATGAAAATTATTTGAATTTTAGTAATTACATTCGCAACAAAATTTCAATGTACGTGTAAAGTAAGAAGATTTGAGCATACCTATCCCCTGTAACATTTTTTAACTCTTGCGATTCATCTAGTTTTCTTTTTTTCCGTGGTCTTATTTCAAGATTCTCGTGGGTCTCCTCGTCATCATCATCCGAATAGCTAGACGATGTTCTCCAGTTATCCAAATTTAATGGGGTTATGTCTGCAATCGTACACTTTGGTCTAACTGCTAAGTAATCCATGATGTATGCCAAAGGTTCTCGCTCAAATTCCCTGTTCACCAAAAAACAATGAAAAAAACTCAATATCATTCTTGTTATGAGAAAACAAAAGTATGTTTAATTACTTTATAGAAATCAGCCAGTAATGCAATTTACAATTAATTGTTCCAGCCACAAGATAGTAGTCAGGATACGGGATAAATCTAAAGAACTTGAAGAATCTCGTATCGTCTGAATTGAAACGTTGCATGTCTAGAATATATTTGGATTATTAGATATTAATGTAAAATAATAACATAAAGAATAAATATGCTGAATATTACCTCCCCTACGTAGACGCAACTCTTCGTCGATAGGCAATCCTAATTGTTTAGCCCATGCAATAACTTCTTCCATCAAAGTCTGAGATGTTCAAGAAACGAATATCAGCAAAACGCATGAAAGAAACTAGAAACTGAAATTTCTTTCCCTTTAAAATACCTCATTTTTTAGCTGACGCAACATAGCAACAATAATATCAGGCGTATCGGTGATATCTGTATTACAGGACTTCAATATGACTGTTTCATATAGTTAGTTTACTTGTTAATTTATTAGTTTACAATAACTTCATATAGCCAAATATATCCGCACATACCATTATGAAATCCTTTATGATTACGCTCAAACACGATTTTACCGTAACGAAGATCCACGCTTACATCGATCCACTTATCACTGGTCATACGAACACGCATAACAGGCGTCATCCAATATTTTTTCGCGTTGTAGTCGATATCTTGATTATAGACAGGAAATCGAAATGCTATAACAACATATATAAAATAGAGAAATGGACAGTTGGAGATGAAGGATACAGAAGGTATCAATTAAGGGTGGCATAAGGGAATATGAAAAAGTTAAAGCATTAGGAGACAGATTATTAGAAAATGAAACAAAAATGAAAAAGAATCAAACCAGGGTAATTATAGGATACACAACCATCACGACCATGGGTAATTTCGATGTCACTTTCTTCCAGAAACGAATTACCCTCGTTGAGCATATCGGTGACAATTTCCTTGAATTTACGGATTACCAGGTCTGCGTGAGTTCTGATAACATGAAGTAGTAAATACTCGATGTTGATATTTGTTGAATCCTATAATTTGAGAATGAATAACAATAACCAAAAAAAAACGAATATTGGTAATTTAACTTGGCACTAGTGCTGCAAATTAAAACTCACAAATTTCCATGGAATGATTCGTGTCGAATCTTTTTCTTTGGATTTAGGAAATCCACTCCACCTCACTTGGAATCGTCGAGTTGGGTAAACAAGGCCTTGATGATTCCTGACGCCACCAAGTTTGATTCGTGAAGTTTCCATCGCGTAATTCGTTTTGGATAGCCTGTTTTTATGAAAATTTATACATGATTCTTCAGAGTAGTCGTCTATCATGGTAATCTCAATCCAGTCTGAAGCTGATGGTGAAGGCGGATCTTGAATCTGTGGTGCTCTTCCCTTTTCGTGAAATTTTTTAAAGGTCTCTGACATTTTTTAACGTAATAATCAATATTTATTGCTTTTTAATTTGTGCGAGTTTTTATATATTATTTACCGAGTGCTTTCTTTTCATTTTGAATAGCAGAGTTTATCCCTTTTACGCTTCGGTCGCCTTTCATAGCATAATGCTTCCATCTAAGCAAAGATCAAAATAACATTTGTCAGTAAATTATCTATTCTTATTTTGGTCAATTAGTCAAAAAGATGGCGAACCAGATTAAATTACCTCCAATAGTATATTTTAATCGAAGTGGGATTTTTTTCGTCAAATTCAATATGTATATTCTCTCTCCATCTTCCTTCCTGTAGATGGATAAGCTTTAAATAAAGTCGATAACTTTATTAATTCTATCACAAGGAAAATTAGAACACATAAGTTCAAGATTTTTTTTTGGTAGTTACCTGCATCTTCATAACATGAAGTTGATGCACAAGACACGTTTCATCTAAAGAATTTTTAAAATACAGTTAGATTATAATATTTTTATCGTATTTATTCTTAATTGTATTAAAACTATGAGACAAATATACGTACGCAAAAAGTCGTGCAAAGTGACAAGTGGCAAAAAAGGCGCAGCAGATGCTTTCTCCCACCATTCAGCCGGTTTTGTGTCTTGCTTTCGCATATAACTAGGCAGATACGACTGTGCTTCCTTTACTTTATTCTTTGGTATTTTCTCTGGTATTTCTTTCAAAGGTGTTTGCGGCGGGGTTAGAATTTGATTTGAGCGAAGTATGGCCCAGTCTAAGAATTTTTGGCCTAATCCCATTGGAGTCTCTATCGTGTATAAAGAATATCGAATCAGTAAAAAAGCTCAAATTATTAAGACAGCTTGTTATTGAGATACAAATAAAAAATGTATTTACGTGAAAGCCATTTGTCCGGTTTACTATGCACATAAAACTTGAGATCCACCACCTCCCATTTGTCATTCATCACCGGCACTTTACGCGGTTCTTTTTTCTTTTCCAGTAAATACGCCTGAAAATCAGATTGTGCCGTAAGGTCTTCGGGGTCTTCGAGTCTTCGTCTGAATTCTAGCTCTTGTTGTATTTTGCATTCTTTTTCTTGTTTTTCTTGTAGTTTTTGTTGCGGACTTTTTTCCTTGTAGAAACAACGCGTTAAAGAAATCTGCGTAGTATAAAATTTTTACGACAAAAGGTGTTAACAATAAAGAATATTAATAAAAAAAAATATCAAAAAAAAACCCCCCAAGAATAGTTAAGCACCTCAAATTCATTTTCAACATAAAAAGTAACACGACCGTCGTGGACCTTGTGATTTGCGAAAGCAGCAGGCACTACTTCATATTTCGATAACCACATTTGCAACTCATAATTTTGTTTTTCTAGCGTTTCTTTGACTTGTTCATCGGTCAGACGCTCTGGAGCGAGTTTTTTCTATTTTATTTTCACAATTTTTTGGAGTTAGCGAACTAATTTAAAAATTAAACATCTATGAAAAATTTATGAATGAAATATAAATTTGAAATGATATATTTAAGAAAAATACCTTTATGATACTAGGGAACCTTTCATAGGTACTACTTGTAAGTACATCTATAGCTGTGTGAAGATCGGGGTTCTTTGCACTATAGATGCCAATTAAAATCAAATATAAAAATAGGAATTAAAATAATTGTGAATTAAATTGCAGGAAAAAAAGTTAATGATCCACATTATATATTTACTTTGAATTGTGAATCCAACCCGCATAAAAACCCCACTCATTTACAAGGTTGTCTTTGAAAGTTTTTTCTTTTTGCAAAGATCTGTGGTATTCCTGGATTTTGTATGTTTTTCGAATGTTTGAATTATAAATATTATTCAATTCATCGAATCAAAATATCAAAAGAAGTTAAATTAATCCCCCTCCCACCAAATTCACTTCCAAAACACAAAAAAGTTACCTGGCATTTTCTCATAATTTCCGCATCTTTAGAAAACTGCACGGTAGCATACAATTTACAAAATTCTTGGCGATTAGTCTCTAGAAAATTCAGCAGATTTTTTTTATTCTGTATTTGTGAATTTGATTGGTTTTGTTGCTGTTGTTGTTGTTCAGATTTAGAGATTTTCTTTTTTGGGCTTTTTAATTATTCATTTATTTGTCATAATTAAACAAAAGTATTAGTTATAGGAGAAAATATATAGACTTAATGAGCTGAAACGTATAGTGCATAAGAATCAAAATGGAAAACTCACGTCGAAAGCACCTGTCCTAAATTGACATACGATCTTGTAATAGTGTCTGCGACTACGCTTCTTAAATCTATCCATTCTTGTGGTTCATGGGATATTTCATGCTGCTGTTGCTGTTGTATATGTAACTGTGAGCCATCGGCCATTTTTATAAGTATTATGTGTGTTGAAATTGAGAAAGTAAAATTTAAACAATAAACAAATACCCTAATACCCTATAGCTTGCTACATGTGATCGATACTATCCGATTATGGCTAGTTCCGTTTTAAATTTATGCTATTATCGATATCAAAAACTTCCAAAATTACATGTTTTTGTTTCGCCTCGAGGACAAAAATGTCACCAACTAAAGTTCTCAAAGACATGACAGTCGAACTTCAGTTCACTCTTCCACCAAATAATAATCCGGTCTCTTTAAAGTTGAGCGTGAAGAAAGGACAACTCCTGGTGGATGTAGTTCGCCATTTTATGAACGAAAATAATGTGCCGTGTTACTTGGAGATTTCTGTGTTGTCAGTTGTCGAGTCATTACTTAAAGGAAGTTGGCGCGGTGACGTTGAACGAAATGGAAAAGGTACATCTTCAATAAATTTATAGACACTTGAGAATTTCCTTGTTCATTAAAGATCCTTTTTATTTAGTCACGAATGACAGACAAGCAGAAGAAGTTCGAAAAGAACTCATTGAAAAATATCAAAAACACACAGTGCGATATAATGATACACCTACAGAGGTAAAGACAGCAAAAATTCTTGATTAGATTATTCAACCCCAGTGGCTTTCGTTTAATAACAAAGACAAGAAATTCGCTGTTAGGACATATTTCCAAAAGCGTATCACACGCTTGTACATTCCCCTGTTCCGTCGATTTTCGATATTTTATTACAACTAGAACAAAGTTTCAGTCAAGCAATGAATGAACAATTGGAAACACGAGAACGAGAATTGAGTGAAATACGCCAGAGGTGCGTTTAATTATCAAGAAAGTTGGTGTGTAATATTAGGATAGAATTCATTAGAGAAATATTTTATGTATATGCTATTGCTATTGAAAATTTCATAAATGATGCGTATAACTAAATCTCTGTGAATTTTCAATATAAAAGACACGGAAGAGAGATGGACAGACATGCGAGAGAGATGGAAAACAATGATGCTGAATTTGAGTTCGCCAGGATAGTATCGAGACATGTGGAAGTAAGTTGAAAAAGAAATTAGTCGTGCTGTTTTTTGTCAATTACTACAAATTTAAATATGATTATCTATTATTAGGAACTTGAAATAGCACAAGCAATGTGGGCAAGTAAAATCGATGAATTGCAACGTTCACAAAAACGTGAATACTGTGAATTTGTATTAAAACTATACGAGGCGCATCAACGTCTCTTGAACCAAAATTCCAACGATCCATCATGGAGCTATGGAATAAATGGAAAAGATATTGTGTTGGATGTGATCAATGAACTAAAAAGTCAGCAGCCGAAACTCTCGAAAGAAATGCTAGAAATGGATAATCACGAAAGTTCAAGTCGTAGTCGACATGGAAGTATCAGTTCGCTGGCAGATTTGATGGTTTCCCCGACTTTGATGACGCCACCATCGCCTCGATTTCCGATAGGCGATGAGAAAAAGTCGGTTTTCTTCGTGGTATGTGTCAAGATATTTATTTTCGGTAGAGCTTGTTTAAATCATAGTAGCCTATTTTAATACTCATGCTTTATAGGAAGAAGATCCGGCCTTTCAAGCAATGATAACTTCAATTAAAGAGATTGGGTTTAATGCGGAGCAAGCAAAAATGGCTCTTGAGATGACAAATCGTAATATGGTAAATTATCATTAAAAATTTTCTAATCCTTGTCAAAGAACTTTATACCAATATCCTAATTTTTGGAATCTAGGACCAAGCTGTAAACCTCTTACTAGAACAACTCGGCAAAATAGATGCCCAAATAGCAGCCGCCAATGCAGCTGCTCCCGCTCTACCAATACGACGACCGTCAATTCCCATCTCTGGCAAAGACCAGGAAAAGCAAGCCAATCGACGAAACAAATCTCACGCACGAAATCTCTCGTTAGCTATTCAAAAACCAGAAAAAAAACAAGGCTGGTCTCCCCTTTCATTTTTGCAGGAACGCAAACAGTCCATGCTAACTTCTAATAATAATTCGACAGCGAGAAAGTTTGGTAATTGGCTTGGGAAAGCAATGGAGAATTTTGGATTGGATGATGGTAATGAGTATGTATGTGGCGCTTTGCTCTCTTTTTAAAGAGTATTGCTATCTGGTGTCAGTCTTCTGTTGTTAATATGTTTTATATGTCTATATCTATATCTTGAGCTTTAACGTTAATATTCAATGTAATATGATAATAGAGACGGTGCGCGTGGTCCATTAGCAGATACCCAACTGGTCGAATCATTTACAATCTCGCTCGGGAATCAAGTCAAATCTACACACAATCTTCGCTTATTGGTCTCTGATATGGATGATTTGTTAAAATCGTCGAATGACCCTGCGCGTGATATGGCTTACCGAGCACAAACTGCCGCAAATTTATATTCACAGGATTTGACGGCTGTCGTTTTGTTGCTGACGCCGCAAGACTGGCCAAAATATAAATTGGGAAAAAGTGCAAATAAAGGTTTGGTTTTGTGATATTCTTTCTTAACCACAAAAAATATACATGTATTTATTTATTTACTTATTTATTTATTAATGCGTCACGTTACTCATAAAAAAAAATAGCCTTCTTCGAACGATGTAAAAAATCAACGGAATTTCATTTTGATGATGTTGAAACGCAATTGAAAGCGATTGAGGAAGATTATCCGAGTACTGGTAACCTAGATGCTCCTTCAATACGAGAAGGTAAAAATAACTAAGTTTTCTTCAAACCTTTATTTTGATCACTTTTTTATGTTATATTCTAATATAAATTTTTATCAATTAGGCGACTTTTTCATTACCAAACATTCAAATTTACCATTAATCCATATTGTATTTCATTTGGTTATTGATTTCGAATGTAAGTAATTGACATATTGCCCGGCTAGACAATTATAATGCTTCTCTACCTGTTAGTAATAAATTTCAAACAAATTTGTATATTAACTTATATTCGAACACATATCAACAGCACTCCAAAAGTCCGAACTAAACCAGCGCTCTCCCGGAATCGCCGGTCTTCGCAACATCTTACGCACAGTCAACCGTTTCGACATCACTAGCATCTCTATCCCATTCCTACTGCTCCCGTCGAACGTCGACGCGTTCTCCGATCCAAACATCGAAAAGAAAATGTATAATCGCGGCGAATTAGTGCTAAAGTGCACCAAAGGATTCATGATTGAAAACTCGCGAGTTCCGAAACATAATGTCGCGGAAAAAGAACAAGAAACTAAAACTGTACAATTTCTGTTGCCAAAGAGTGCAACGGAGCAGCAGTTTCACGCGTTTAGGCATTTGTTGACTAGCATTTTCAGAGCGAGTTGATTGCGATTTTTATTATTTATTTTGAGCATGGGCTTTGATTTTATGTGCGTGGGTTTAGATTTTCGGATTAGAAATGCATTTACTTTTCAAAAATTTTGTAATTTTTTATTAAACCAATATTTGTATTATTTCATTGTATGTTTTGTGTTTCCGAATTTTTAAAACTCACGCTAAACTAGTTAAATGAGGCCTTGATTCTAGTTAGTAAAGATTTTAATTTAAGTCCCCAAAATTTGGTTCATAATTAAATGCGAAGTAACCAAAACACCGAAGTATTTTGGGGTTCGAGTAAAGACACACTGTCATTTAATAAATCAAGTATTGAGATGTATATTATTACGTTTTTATTTGAGTGATTTGGGTTGTATAATAAATAAAAATTAAGATATATGACTAACTTTGGTAACCTCCCTATATAATATTTAAATTATTCGCACTTGATCAACAAATAGTTTTGGGCACAATAAGAAAAAATAAATATTAGTAGCAATAAAAATTATGATTAAGTAGTTTACTAAATTACTATGGTCTGGAAGAAAGAAAAAATTAAAATAAATATAAGGCAGGAGGAAAATGGGTAATGAGGATATGTATGTGAATATATGATTACTTTGTTTACTTGGAGAGGATGGTTCTGAAATATTAAAGATATTAAAAAAGAAAAACTAATAAAAAGCTGATTAACTAAAATTCTTTGTGTATAAATAATGCTGGTAATAATAAATATGGTTGTCTAGTATTTCTAAGTCTTGTTCAATTTTTAAGTATATATAAGATAATAATAATCATCTTTTTTATGATCAACACAAAAAGCTTTATCTTCCAAAATCTCACGACTCACATATCTTTCTTCAAGTGTGTGTATTATGCATATTCGTTTGTTGGCATATAAGTGTGGTGTAAGATCATCAATCATTTGTAACTTTCGTCTCTTCGTCCCTTTAGACAAATATTTATTATAAATAATAATTATTGTAGTAGTAGTTGTTGTTGTTGTGGGTGTTATTGTATTTTATTTGACATATCTCGCTATTGCTTGAACAAAAGATTCCTTGGTTTTTCGATCATCCGAGAAGAAATAGTACGGTTCCGTTGATCGAAAATCGACCTTGAACGAGTTGAGTATTAGCACTTCGGATTGTGCGTCTGATACACCGGAAACATCACTATCAAGCTCGAGTTTGGAAATGGGAAGCTTGTCAGTGGAGTCACGGAAAAGGTATAATGTTTGTCCACGTAATTCAAAGTAACGACGTTTCCAAAACTGTAATAAAATTATCATTAGTAGGCATATTTCTAAGTTTCATTTGAATCTTCTTAATGGTATCCTATTAAGAAAAATTAACTCACGTATACTCCTCCGCCTTGTACTGTGATATAACCATCCAGCAAAACCTAGGAATTAATAACAAATTAATTTTGTTAACACCTATATTGTTATTAAGTCAATTGTCATATTTAAGAATGATGGATTACCTTGCCACTCTTTTCCAATTCGGCGAATTTGGATCTGAGCTCCTCATTTCGCTTCTTTTCAGCCTCTTCGCGAACTTTTTTCTCTGCCTCCGATTTAGCCTTAGCTTCAGCTAAAGCCTTTTCCTTTTTCTGATTCTCAAGAGCTTCTTGCTTCTTACGTTCTGTTTCCTCGAAAGCACGTCTCTTTTCCAACTCTTGCGCAATTTTTTCCGCGTCCCTTCTCTGTGCTTCGCGCTCAAGCTTCTCGCGCTCAGCATCTTCACGAGCAGCCTTTTCGGCCTCGCGCCGCGCATTTTCTGAACCATTAATATTATAGGGAGTAAGGTCTGATGCATCTGACTCGCTTGCATTTGGTGACTTTGGAGAGCTGGGTAATGTGTTTTGTCGAAGAGTTTGCTGCCGTTGCGGAGACGGCGAACTTGGTCGGTCATCTGATGAACTGAGCTTCAATTTACTGCGAACCTTATCTTCTGCAAGATCTGATGCGTTTGATGCGTTAATTTGGATTTGATGTGCCTGCTTAACGCCGGAAATTAATTGTTGTGCGTTTGAGATATGTGTGTGTGTGTGTGTGTGTGTGTATAAAATTTTTTGTACATACGAATTTTAGGATACCATGTGGAGACAAAGAACTTTTTAAGGGCAACAATAAATAATTATGGAAATCTAGAAATTCTCTAACTTACCTTGAATAAAGCACCAACAGCTCGTCCATGAACCAAAGCACGAGCTTTATGTTAAAATTTCATTAGTTAGTTAATCAATCAAAGAAAATATCGAACTATATTTTACATATCCATCATAAAGCTCGCTTTACCTCTTCGTACGCCACTATCAATTAAAATTAACATTAGGAACAATTATTCAACATAAAATAATAATCGTTAATTTCTATACATGAAATTCCTTTTAATCAAAGAAACAAGAAAGAATCGGAAAAATTAGTACTAACCTAACTTGTTCACTCACATAAGTTATCAACACAAATCGATTCTCAATTCGTAGAAACCCGTAGAGTACTTCTTCTTTGAGATTTTGACGAAGTTCATCAAGACCACTGGTACCTTTTGAATAAAGGGAAATTTTATCCCGGGTGTCGTGATAGCCGAGAATAAGCCTGATGAAAAAAATAATGAACTGAATTAATTTTCGTCAACGCTTGCTATCATTGTTTTTTATCCGCATCGCCCAAAATTTGGAATGATAAAAAAAAGCAAAAAATCTTCGCACGAAAGGATTCCAAGGATTGCTGTACATTCATTCGGATGGTTAATGCTCATTCAATCCCCTTTGACAGATACGTTAACAATTATGGAATTAACTTGTGTAGAGTTCATTCATAATTTTTCATAATTTGGGAATGTTTTCAAATTCGTCTCAAATCTATGATATTAGTCACCAGAACTCTGTGTATGCGCCACGAACACCAATACACTATCGATAGATAATCTCTCAACGTGAACGCTAGCGTCCATAATAGCGTCAACCTAGGAAACAAGAATCTAGTTTATAATATCTAAAACCCACCAGTTGGTATCCTGACCACTGACAATCTCTTCATACGCTTGTGAAATGGCTGGGTCAGATAAATCGCAGGACATGGTGGTATGTTATGTTTGATTTTATTAAGTTAAGAAAGTATATTTTTATATATAGTTTGACAGACGGAAACTGGGCGTGAGAAAGTGGAGACGCGCGCGCGGATTTATTAAATATACCGGAAAGAGAGAAGAGTATACAAAGGAATGAAAAGAAATGCCCGAGAAAACAAAAGTGGAGAGATGAAGTAGAAAGAAGAAAATATATTTTTTTTGGTTTAGAACGTGAAAAATAATATGTTTGTGCGTGTGTGTTCGAAAAACCCCAACACAAAAAAAATATTATTTACTTTAATTTGAATAACTGATATGTTAATAACTGATAAGCGCACCAGTTGCAGTGTGTGTTTGCCTTTTGTTATCGAGACTAGTCGAACGAACTATTGCGTTATTGGACGGAGGAACACACAACCCAACATATTTCCTCTAACTTGCCTATTACGACAAACCTGTGTTCGAAAAGCCTGTGTGGATGTGTGGAATATGTATGTATGTATGTGTGTATGTATGTGTATTCTATGTGCTAAATTTCATGGATTTTATTTTGAAATTGAAAGCAGAATGTCGTGTAAATTGAGATATATTTTCTGGTTGGTTAACGTTAAGCATACATTTAAACCTTATATATATCAAATTGATTTCTATTTCGTAATAATGCAAGAACAAAATTAAATGTTTACTCTTCACACGAAAGATACCCATGTGTACATCAAAACCTTTTATATAATACAAAAATTGTTCAACATTTCTGGGCTGAATTTTTCCAAACCATTATTGGGACTTGTATTATCATTTATACGCTTAATTCTGCACCATTAAATTGCATCATGCATATTCTCTTTAAATTCTTATTTATCTCTGCTTATGGACAATTCAATAATTTCAATAATTTTTTAGAACATATAATTTCTATATCATTCATATTTTGACGCATTCATTCATAAAAAGAATTCAGATTAACAAAAAAAAAGTAACCAGTCATGTTGTTTTCCAATTAGAATAACTGAGCCAGAACAGTGTGCCCTATATATGTATTACAAGTGATGAATTTTAAAAAATCTTGCCAAGAACCAGTGTATTAAAAGTTTTTTTTTTTATGGATGTAAAGAAAAGTAAGGTGAATTTAATCGCTATAATATCCTTGATTACACGAAAAACAAACCAAATTTCTGAATCTGAATTTTTTCTTTTTTCTATTGATAGTGGATTTCTCATCGTCATGCAAACGATGCGCGTTATTATCATTATTATAATTAATATTATCGTTATAATAATTAATATTATCGTTATTATAATTAATACCATTATAATTATCTTTAATTTGTTGCTCTGATTCATTATTATCACTTGGTGTATGCAATGTTGACTGTGGCGATGGTGATGGTGGTGATGGTGATGGTGGCAAAAGCGATCGCTGCCTTATGATATACGGTGGTAATATTATTTGTGGATTTTCATGATTCTGATCACGTTCAAATGACGACGAAACATTTGGTAATTCGTCAAGAAGTTTTAATCGCATTTTGACCTCTGAAACTTCTTCACGGGTTGATGCTCGAATCTGCATTTGATGCATCTGTTTGATATGCCACAAATTGAAATTAATTCTAAAAAGATACCATTAAAAAATTCTCGAATGAAGTTTAAATTAATTACCTTGAATAATGCTGCAACTACTCGGCCGTGAACCAGACCACGAGCTATTAGGATGATTCCGTAAAAGGAAAAAAAATATAACCGACATTATATACTTTAAAAACATTTCATATCCCGCACTGTACCTCTTTGCACATCACTAATTTAGGATAAAAGAGAGATTTAATTAAACTTTTCGAACCAAAACAATCAAAAAAGAAAAAAAAAAGAAAACGAACCTAGCCTGCTCGCTAAAATACGTCAAAAACACAAATTTATCATCGATTCGCAAAAACGCGTACAATATTTCTTCCCTGAGATTTTGACCAAATTCATCGAGACCACCAGAACCTTTCGAATAAAGGGAAATCTTATTCCGCGTGCCATGATAGCCGAGAATAAGCCTGCAACAAAAATATCAAATTAAATAATAAAGATGTTGAATCAATTTCGATATTTTTTGTTGGTGCATATATATAATGGTCATAAGAAGGTAAAAATTCCAAGGATTATTCGTCGTCAATGCTATTAAAACATATGAATTGACAGAATTATCGAATTATTAAAAGGAACATTTGAGATATATATATATATATAAATATGCGCCGAATACACTCGTAAGGAAGGCGGCTAACATAGAAATCGTGCACTGGTCAAAGTAATGCAAAATGATACTGGAAGCTAATCAATGACCCACTTACCAATTAGTAGTATCCTGCATACTGATAATTTCTTCATATGCTCTCATAATAGATGGATCAGATAAATCACAGGCCATAATTTCAAAGGATTAATTACTGCCGCGTTATTTATTGTTTATAGCTAAGGGCCCGCTTTAGCATAAAAAAATTATTCTTTATATTTTATTTTGGCACGAAAAGTAGTGTTAAATAGTCCTATCGGAAGGAAATTATCGGGTTTAAAAAAAAATCAAAAAAAATCTAAACGAAACGATTATCCCAAGTTTTATTTTATAATTATTAGCGCGTCGATGTTCATCATAATAAAAGATATTATTGGTCGATACGTGTATCAGATGTAAGATGATATAAAACGCCATAATGAATTCGTAATAATTACTGATTTCCAAAATTTTTTTTGACATAGACGAAAAAGAAAAACTATTGCTTTATTACTGTTATTTTCTAAAATGAGCTCATAACTGTCTTCTTTATTTATATAGGTGTGAAAACTATGGGTTTCTGCTAACTTCAAACTCAAAGAGGTTGGTAAACCCCTACAAGTGTATTTGGTTCTTTGTGATATTTAACGGTTATCAAACTATTATCATTTTTTAGCACGAAGATATTCACGATGTACTCTACTCGTCAAGATGGGATTTTTTATTTCATTCTTAGCCATTACTTCCTATCCCTTGTAGAATAGTATTAATTTACTGCATAAGAAAAGGAATAATGAATATCCCAAAACCCGAAATATTCATGTAATTTTTTTTCACCGCATTTTTTTTTACCCCATTTCTATCAATCGATCAAAAACTCTTGGGAACACACTAAAGAATCGCGATCGAAGCATCACATACAAAGAAAGCAATTTTCTTTTGCTTTTCTTTACCAAAAAGCTTTGGGGAAAGTCCCCGGACACGTGGCAGAAAGTGTCGCCCATAACGCGGTAAAAGCCGATTGTTCGCGCAATGTCATCCCGTTAGAGATAACGTACGAGTCAACGATGGAATTTCTCTTGAAATTCTGAGACTTGGATGGTGCATGCGGACCGGTCGTGTTGGTCATAGCACAGTTATGCGATTGTACTCGTTCGTTTGTTCGTCAAGAACGACGATGAGTATAACTCAACGGGGCTTACTCTTGGAGTGTTCCCATCCTTTCTTGCTATCCTCTTTTTTTAGCCTAACTTTTTTTATTTAATTTCTATGTATATATAAAAAACCCCTCAATTGGGTGCAGAAACAAAGGGTTTCGCATAAGAATCACATTCTAAACAAAAGAGAATTGGTTATTTTCATGAACCAACACCATTTTTAACTAGCGTACGTAGATATACAATAAAGATCATTCTTTGGCCCTTTTCGTGCGGGAGCATGCTAAAATGTCTATACCGTTTAATTTTCATATCAAATCCACATGAGTGGATGTTCAAGAAACATCGCGTGGCTCTTTGTGATATCAAATCAACATGATTTCACGTGCATACATATTCACAAAGCACTTTCACGCATTTTGCATCGAAATAGAATGTCTTTAGTCGCAGATTACAGTTCAGACCCCGGAACCGAAAGTGAACAAGAAGAATCTTCCATTAGTGAACAAAGACAAAATAAGCAAGAATCTTGTACACCTGAGAAAAAGACTTCTCTATTTTCTACACTTCCGCCGCCGAAGAACAGAGTAGTAAACATCGCTACTACTAATGTTGGTACTATTTCTTCGTCAAAGAACAAGAAAAGGGCGGAAGGACCAGTTAAGATCCTTGTCGATTTGCCAAAGCCTTCGGAAAAAGACAATTTAGACAGTGATAGTGATGACGAAGAAAGAGAGGCAAAGAGACTAAAGTTTGGAACGAGTGGTAAAGGTCCTGGTTCAGGCTTATTTTCAATATTGCCTGCTCCTACAAGAACTATAGCTTCAAAAGACATAAAAACCGACAAAAATGATAATGAGAGCAAAGGATCTAATGGGAAAACAGTAAAAACTACAAGTTTTGTTCCGCATACTGTGAAAAAACAAAAATCTGCTACCGTTGCAAAACCAACTAAAGCTTTAACAGAAGACAATAAGAGTCAAGTAAATAAAGAATCGATTAGTGATAACCAAGACGATGAAACGTCACAGTCACAAAAAGATGAGGAGATATCATTCTTTCCATTAGGTATCTTTTAGTTCTCTATCTTTTAACATTTATAAAATATAATAATAAGATTATTGACCGAATTTTAGACACGGAAATCTCAAACATTGTAAAAAATAAATATGAGTCGATTTCAAGCACAACTCCTTCAACGAATCTGATAATAGAAGAAAATAATGAAGAAGAAGATGATGATGATTATAACGTATCATCAACGATGACTAATGAAGGATTATCCATTGATAATACTAGTATACAAACTATTAATAGCAATGAACAATACTATTATGGTGACCAATGGACAGGGGATAATAGTTATATGTATACTACCGCCTCTACTTCTTATGGAGCAGGCGTAAGCTATGCAAGTGGTGTTAATGATTCGTCATGGCATCTACAACAGCAACAAGAAGAATCGGAGATTGCATTAAATGAAGAAATAGTAAGTGAATTTTTTATCCAACTGTATGATGCAAGAAACTTTTTCCGCTATTTGATATTCATTACGATCTCTCATGTTCAAAGATAGCAAAATTAGGAGGGCGAAGAAACAAAAAAGAACGCGAAGCAGGTGCAATACAAGTAAAAGATATTGACGCCCGTGATCAATTGGGTGACGACGCGTGGCGTTCCCAGATGGCGCAGTTAACCAAACCTGGACAAGTGTCGAGTGGTGCTTACTCGGTAATGTCCTTATAATTAACCATTGATTAAATTAGTTCACTTTTTTGAAGCCAACATTCTCGTCTTCAAATAATAGCATTTAAAACCATCAAAAGGCCAAAAACGTAAGCATAATCTCGCGTACTTGGTTCATCAGGCATCAGTGATGGAAAATGATCTCAAAGAACAATATGCCAATAATCGAAAGACGAAGCGAGAAACTCAGGCTAAATATGGTAAATACATTATTTCTGAGTATGCATGCGATCTTGCTTTTGCATTCTATTATTAATTTTTCTTGCAATTATTTAATAGGATTTTGAAAAAATACCATTTATTTTGGTAAAACAGAAACAATAACAATTTGTATTTACAAGCAATCCAATCTATTATATAATGTTAATGATGCACGGGAATGTGCAAATAAAATCAACATATTGACGAAGCAATATTATTACAATAACGGGCGAAAGTTTAAAACTAAAGTTTTAATATAGAATATTTGTCTTTATTAATATACAAATAAAAATATATAATAAAAATGGCCTCATCTACGTCACGATTCGCCAATATGAAACGCCAGCCAGAAAATCGCAGTTTGATTCGACAACTTCGCGGCAACCCCTCAACGAATCGCAAGACATCCTCATAATTTTCAATTTTTTTTTTTAAGTAGAAATATAGAATATTTGAATTTTTTTAAATATTCTATATTTCTACTTAAAAAATTCAAATATTCTATATTTCTACTTAAAAAAATTGAAAATTCTATATTTCTACTTAAAAATAAAAGTTAAAAAATATTAACAAGTTTGTGTTATTATTTTTCTTTTTTTATATTTTATTTTTAATTATTCAATATTAAATTTGGATGCAGGTAACGAATAAGGTTTCCTTCGAGGAGAATAAAAAGACGAGGATGACGAAGCAGCAACAAATCTTTGAGATTGTCTTTGATCATTCACAATTTGTTTTCTTAGGCTATAGATTCCTTCTCTTGAAGTGCCAGCTTGTATATGATTGCTAGAGTGAGGAGAGGAACCCAAAATAAATGATGATGATGTTGATTGACCTTGACCACTTTGACTTGAAGGAGAAGTAACCGATACTAGCGATGACGAAGACTGTCTTTGGCTTATGTTTTTTCTTGCTTTGGAAATTAACTCGTTAAACTGATCTTGATATTTGTTAAGATGCTCTTGTGCTGAGGAATTTGTACTCCGTTTTTTGTTGTTTCTTTGGGCAGTTTCCCAAATCCTCATATCAGATAAGAGTTCGCGATGAGATTTCGGATTTGTGGCATCCATATTCGCGTTATAGAGATTCACGTATTCCGCATGTCTTTTTATCATTTCCGCTTTGTTGCCGAACGTTGATAAGCCCTCTTTCTGTATAATTTTATTATATAAAATTAGATTTTCAAAAGATCACGTCAATAGGTATGAATAATACATGTTTGTACTTGCCTTAAGTATCTCACGTAATTTTGATTCTTTCATAAGCGAGTAGGCGATCTTTGGTTTTTTCTTCATTTCGGTTTTTGAGATAACACTTGTGTTGCTGCTGATATTTCCATGGCAATCAGCAAAAAGATCTCAATTAGAAATCTGGTGAATTACTAAATTTTAAATCAAGAAAACAATTGTGAAATCACATACTTGTTAGTTACGGGAGTTCGATGATGACTTGAAGACGGCAACGCTACTTTATTTTCAGGAGGCGATACATCTCGAAAGACTGTATAAAGGTATTCCACTTCGGGTGACGAATCTGAAGATGGTAATGTTGGCGTTGGTGGGAACAATGAAGAATTTGATTCTGCCGCATTTGTTGTTGATTTTCCCAACTCAACGGAATGCGACATCTCTGATTTCTTGGCGTTCTTTAGCATCGAGTATTCTGTTACGATTGTCAATAGTTCTGGTCTAATACAATAACGAAAGAAACATCAATTAATTCACTGATTTATTAGATCAATAAATCATATTCAAAAACCTACCTAATTATATTATACTGATTCACTATATCTTGAAGAATAATATCCTTCCTAAGATCGTTGGGAGAACACGTCGCACGACAAAGCGGACACCCCGGGTCTCTAGTAATACATGCGTCAATACAACTTGCGCAAAAGACGTGCCCGCATTTAGTCATCATTGGCGTCTGTAAGAATTCAAAGCAGACCGAACATCGAAGAAGTAAGTCAAGTCGTCGGTATTCGGGATGTGGCCAATCTGAAGGATCGGTCAAAGGTTGGGTATCATTTTTAAGCAAGAACGACATTACTGTTTATTTCTGGCTGTTTTATAGAAGTAGAAAAGTGTGATCTTGGTTGTTGTTTAAAGAAATTAAGTGTGCTATTTTCTGCAGAATTGTAAAGTTCGAAGTGAACAAAACGCGTGTTTGATAGCTGGCTTCGAAAGCGACCCCTGATTTTAAATCGGTTTCTGGTCACATGATAACAAACTGCGCAAATCATATTTGGGGCTGGTTTTTCACATAGGCCGACATTCGTATGATTGGCTGATGTAGATCAATTGCCCGGGTAACTTATTTATACAGTTTAAAGTACTTTTCGAGAAGTATAACGTTTCACTAATGCCAAGATTCACCGTACAAAATAATCTCTAAAACTGAAAGACTTTACTTATAAGTGAATATACTATTATATACCAGACAGCCTAATTGACGGATTTAACCAACTATTCAAGATAGATAACATATTTCAAAAGCACTATATGTTTACTTATATATCTAAAGAAAACGTTAAAAATTCAAAGATCTCTCAATTAGACAATAAGCACTTTATGATCTACTCCTACTGGCTCATGTATAATTACAGTATATAAAAGAAAATCAGACTGATAGAAGCAAGTAACTGAGCACATTATGATTAAAGACAGAGCCAACAATACTTTGCCAAGTTATATACAAATAGATGATATTATTTATTAAAATTACTATTACAAACTATACTCTGAAAGGTAGATTTTACCATGAATATAGTTTATAATAAGTTTTGAGGGTGAAGACTGAATTATTTATAAAGGTTAATGGGATAATAGTTATTCTAAAGGTTTCCTAGTATCAATACTTACGAGTATTATATCAACATGACTGGTTACTTTTTTTTTGTTAATCTGAATTCTTTTTATGAATGAATGCGTCAAAATATGAATGATATAG